TTATTTATTTATTTTTGTCTTTTTGAGACAAGGTCTCCCTGCAGCCCCAGCTGTCCTGGAACTCATTATGTAGACCAGGCTGGCCTCGAACTCACAAAGATCTGCCTGCCTCTGCTTCCCAAGTGCTGGGATTAAAGGTGTGCGCCACCATGCCTGGTGAACCTAGTACTTTATATATGCTAAACAAGCACTCTACTACTAATACTTGAACTGCATCCTCACCCCCTACAGTATTTTATTTTTAAGATTTTATTTTATTTATATGTCTGTCTGTGTCTTTGTGTGCTTTGTGAGTGTATGTGCTTATGTGTTTGAAGGTGCCCATGGAGACCAGAAGAGGGTGTTGGATCTCTTGGAGCTGGAGTGACAGGTGTTTGTGAGTCACCCCACATGAGTGCTGGGATCTGAACTCTGGTCCTCATGAGAGACCAGCAAGTACTGTTAACTGCTGAGCCGTTTCTCCAGCCTCCTTCACTATTTTAAAGACAACAATTCTGTAGCATTTAACATTTTATAGTGCTGTACAACCACTATTTCTGTCTAGTTCCAAACATTTCTTAAATGCCTGTTAAGGATGATAACATTGTACAAAGCCTTTGACAATGACTGTGGCTGCCTCTCTGAGAATTTTACATATCAGATTGAATTTTTCCCCTATCTCTTTCCAACAGAGCCCGAAAGAGTATCCCTGATACTTATGCAGAGCACCTCTTTGCCAGCGGACTCATGACACAGGAGGAAGTGTCTGAAATAAAAGCCTCCTACTATGCCAAGTTAAATGACCACTTAACCAATGTGGCCCACTACAGCCCCCCCTGCCACTAACTTGCAGGCTTCCTGGCAGGGCCTGGTTCAGCCAGAAGCATGCATCACCACCTGGAACACAGGCGTACCTCTAGACCTCCTGCGGTTTATTGGCGTAAAGTCTGTGGAGGTACCAGAGGAACTAGAATTACACAGCCACCTTCTAAAGATGTATATTCAGGTGGGAAACCTTGACATCACTACTTTTTATTTTTTGTTCATCAAAAAATTGATGTTGTTCTGATATTGCTAACACATTTGAGAAATATTTATTGTTTGCTCTTAGGTTGCAGCAACTGTTCCTAGTGTTGTTTTGGTTCTAAGAGCCTTTGACTTAGATTTTTTCCACTTCTGTTTTCCTTTGTGAGGTTTTATATTGTTGGACATGTTATAGACACGAAACACCTGCTCATTATAAAAACTACAGAAATACAGAAATGTTTACTTTTTCTAACCAGTGGACCCAAACCCTGTAATTCTTAAGGGTTTACATGCTGTTTTATATTACCCATTCTGGTTTGCTCACAGCTTATTGGTTTTCTAGAATGTGGGACTTCTCAACTAGGAAAAAAAGAGTTTCCCTTATTAAGTGTAGATGAAGGAACTCTACTCTCTGCATTATTTTAAATACTTTGTTTTTAAGTTTTTATTTCAGCAGAACTCTTCCAAACAAAATGTGTTCACCATCCTGCTCAAGAAATATGATTCCAAACAAAGTTTCCTCCCTGCATTCATCTCCTCATACCTCTGCAGAGGTGACCACTACCTGATTGCATGTTTCTTTTGCCTATTTTAAAACTATTTAAGTAGAGTATGGTGGCATACACCATTTTAATCTCAACACTCAGCAATCTCTGTGTGTTTGAAGCCAGCCTGGTCTATATAGCGTTCAGGCCAGCCAGGGTTACGTAGTGAGACACTGTCTCAAACAAAACAAAACAAAACACAACACCACACAACACCAAACCAAACCACAACACAACACAACAAAACAAATGGTATATAATACAGTATTCTACCAGATGCAAAGCACTGGATTCAGATCCAGTACTGGCAGGAAAATGAATATGGATTCTTAAAAGTTTCTTTTGTCTCGCCCTCCCAATGTTTTATAGTCCAGGATGGAGAAAGTGAAGAGTGGAGCACATGTAGACTGGGCCACAGCAGAAACCCTTGCCTTGGGCTCCTTACTTGCTCAAGGTAAGATGTTTCTATTGAGCTTCCCAACAGGCAGACTATGCTCTGCATTATATTTGTTACATGAGAGCTCCTGAATTTCAATGACCTACTGTTAATTTCACTGATTAGAGAAGTTCTAAAACATAATATTCCTTAGTCATAGTGTAAGGAGGCATGTTGACCATTTTCATTAGCATATGATAGGCAAGGGAGCAGTTATATAAACACGGAGCTCATTCCTGCGTGCATTAGAAAGATATTTTTCTCTAAAAGTTGTATGACCAGAAATGACTCTCAATTCTTATAAATTTTATGTTGTTTTAAGTTCTATAGACTTTTAAATATAGGAAAGATATGTTTTTTCTTTTTGGTTGTAAGCCTGAACCTTTAACTGCTGTGTCATCTCTCCAGCCTGGAAAGATATATTTTATAAGGACAATCTATAATCCTAAAGAAAATTCTCAGAATGAGTCAGTGTATAAGATATGAGAAAGCTCCAGTATCTGATCTGGCATTACATACCTGTAGCCTAACTCCACAGGATGCTGTGGGAGAGGATTTTATTAACCTGTGAGTTCAAGGGGTAGTGTGGACAGTATCAAAACAAAGATCTCAGGGCTACCGTGTCTTGTTTACAGATCATTCATGGAAATCTTTTTTTCCCCTTACTTGCTTGAGGTTTCAATGTCCGTCTGAGTGGCCAAGATGTGGGCCGTGGAACTTTTAGTCAAAGGCATGCAATGGTAGTTTGCCAGAACACCGATGATGCCTACATTCCTCTGAACCATATGGACCCTAATCAGAAGGGGTTTCTGGAGGTAGGATGTTTTAGTATATATATTGTAAAATTCATGTATGTATATGCCAACTGTTACACTTACAGGGTTTTGTTTATTTGCTTTGCTTTCTTGAAACAGAGTCTTTCATTGCCTAGGATAGTTTCAGACTCCCTGTGTAGCTGAGGGTGGCCTTGCACTCATCTTGGTACTTTTGCCTCCACCTCCCAAGTGCTGGGAATTACAGGCATGTGCCACCACGCCTGACAGTTACAGAATGTTTTCTTTTAAAATTTTTATTTTATATGTATGAGTGTTTTGCCTGCATATATATAAATGCACCATATATGGTTTATTGCTTGCTGAGACCAGAAGAGGGCATCAGATCCCTGGACCTAGAGTTATAGACATTTGTTAGCTACTGTGTGGGGGCTGGGAACCGAACCCAGGCCCCCTGGAAGAGCAGCCAGTGCTCTTAACCCCTAAGCCATCTCTCCAGCCCCAATTAGAGGATTATTATTTATTCATTTTTTTTGGTCTTTTTGAGACAGGGTCTCCCTGTAGCCCCAGCTGTCCTGGAACTCACTATGTAGACCAGG